TGAAGCTTCAGAGTTCCCAGACAGGAGCCCTAATGGTGTCTCTGTCTCCTTGAATAAGTGTTCCTTATTCATCAGTATATATACATCATGTCACTACATGCTTTTAGAAGTTGTCACCTCACTGTCAATACCAAGGCCATGAAAAGCCTTTAGTCCTTTGCATGTTTATCAGGCTTCAGGCATTGATTGCAATTGTTCTGTTCTTCCTTCTAAGTGTTCTCAGGGGACTGGAGCATGGCATTTTTTAATGTGCTTGATACAAATATAATCAGAAATTTTGGCTCACCTACTATGGAATCATTGGTGTTTTTTATGCTCATTTCATATCTGTCTGGTGATGTGCACACAGTTACATGACATCTCTAGGTGTTGTAAAGTGAACACACAAGTGTGCATATTGCCATTGGATTACTCATGTGGCAAAGGCATTTTGTTCCACTGTTCAAAACACATGCCTCCATCTAAGCTCTCTGGTAACGATCCTACTCCACAGAGGTCACACTCTCTCCGCTTTTACATTGGGGTCTCATCTCTTTACCTTAAGACACCTGTCTCCTATTACACTTAATACAAATTCCACTTACTCTAACATACTTAAACCATTTTGAAGATAGATAAAAAGTCAAGGCTTTGATTAAATTAAAATTAAAATGTGAAAATAATATTTCTTTATACTTTCAAGGTATAGTTAAGAAAGTAGTTTGAAATCTTTTTAGACCATTTGATGTGCTTTACAGAATACTGCCTACCATGTAGCCCAATTCAATGAAGATGCAGGACATTTTCATGACCCCAGAAGTCCTCTGCAGCCTCAGGTCATGATAATCAAGAGGCGACATGTTGTGCATTTTCTACTGCAGATCAGGTCTTTAAATGCAGTTCCCTCTACACAAAATCATATAAGTTCGTTGTAAACAGCTAATTTCTCATCTTAAATTTTGGGCACTATCCATAGTGTTGTCTGTTTATGTTTGGCTTTTTGGTGATACATTTTTATGAATTGGTATATGAATAAAGCTATCATGAGTGGTGTTGATCAATGTTGTTATTTGTAACAGAATATCACTGTATGTGTTGATGGGACGTGGGTTGATATTTCAATATGTTTATGCAAGTTCTAAGTAAGTGTCTATGTTTCTGTGACATGGTCACGTCTGTCTCCCCTAGGTGTGATCTCCTCTCTTCTTGTTGTCTGTAAATACATAAGAGATGACTGCAGAGCGTCGTCACTCCACCATGCAGAGTCCTAGAACCTATGCTTCTGTCTAAATGGACGTGGTTACCATTGTCATATCTTGCTTAACACTTTCTCGTCTTTGATACTTATTATCTTATTAATTATTATTCTTCTAATATAGAGTTTTCTAGTTCCCACATGTGAGAGATAAATGTGATATCTGTCTTTCTGTACCTGGCCTATTTTTCTTCATATATTTTTCTCCATCCCTACCCATTGTACTGTACATAAAAGGGTACCATGCTTTTTATGGTTGAATAACACTCCATTGTGCATCTTTATTATCTTTCCTTCGTCCTCTCATTTCAAGATGTATGCCTAGGGTTATTCTGTTTATTTGCTAATATGACCTATTCTCCACAAGGGTGTGTTGGTGTTGCTCTGCTACACTGATTTTTTTTAAATTTTTATTGGTTATTTTGTTTATTTACATTTCAAATGTTATCACCCTTCCCAGTTTCCTCTCTGAAAAATCCCCATTCCACCCCCTCCCCCTACCTCCATGAGGGTGCTCCCCCACCTACCTGCCAACTCACGTCCCACTGCCCTAGCATTCCCCTATGCTGGGGCATCAAGCCTCACAGGATCAAGGGCCTCTACTCCCTTTGATGCCAGACAAGGCCATCCTCTGCTACCTATGCAGCTGGAGCCATAAATCCCTCCACATGTATTCTTTGGTTGGTGGTTTAGTCCCTGGGAGCTAGGGGAGGGTCTGGTTGATTGATATTGTTGTTCTTCCTATGGGGTTGCAAACCCCTCCAGCTCCTTCAGTCCTTCCCCTAACTTCTCCATAGGGATCCCCATGCTCAGTCCCATGATGGGCTGCAAGCATCCCCTGTATTGGTAAGGCTCTGGCCAAGCCTCTCAAGAGTTATCCATATCAGGCTCCTGTCAGCAAGTACTTCTTGGCATCAGCAATAGTGTCTGGGTTTGGAGGCTGCATATGGGATGAATCCTAGGTAGGGCAGTCTCTGGATGGCCTTTCCTTCAGTCTCTGCTCCACTCTTTGTCCCTGTATTTCCTTTAGACAGGAGCAATTCAGAGTTAAAATTTTAAAAAGAGTGAGTGGCCCCATCCCTCAACCGGGGGCTGTGCCTAACCTCTGGACATGGTCTCTACAGGTTCTCTCTCCCCTTAATTCCTGAATATATTTTCTGCATTTTGAAAGTGTCTCATTATGTAGCTCTGGCTAATCTGAACCTTTTTTATGTAGATGATTCAGGCTTTCAATGGCTTCAACCAAGAGCTGGGAAAAAAGGTGCATTGCCAACATGCACACCAATTTTGAAATGATATGATTTTTAAAATATTTTTTATAGATTCTTTAAGAAGTTCATACAATATATTTTGATAAGGTTCACTTTCCCTCCTCAACTCCTCCCAGGTACATCCTACTCACTCAACTTTTTTATATCTTCTCCTTTAAAACATACCAAGTCCAATCTCTACAGTCTACTTACCCATTTTAATTTACATCCCAAACACTGTCCCCCATCACAGTCCTCCCCTCATAGAGTCCCTCCTGCCACCCCTCCTCCCCTTCTCCTCTGAGAGGGTCAGGCCCTCCCTGGGTACCTCTCCACACCTTGGCACATGAAGACTCTACAAGGTTAGATGCATCCTCTACAAATGTAGCCAGACAAGGCAGCCCTAGGTGCTGGAGGCCTTGGTCCAGCTCATGTATAATGCTTTCCGGTTGGGGCTCAGTCTCTGAGATTTGCCAAAGGTCCAGGTTAGTTGACTCTGTTGGTCTTCCTGTGGATATCCTATCCTCGCTTCTGGGTCTTCAATCCTTCCCCCAACTCTTTCATAAGAGTCCCCAACATCCTTCCAGTGCTTGGTTGTGGGTATCTACATCTGTTTCAGTCACCTGCTGGGTAGAGACTCTCAGAGGACATTTATGCTAGACTCCTGTCTTCAAGCCTAAGAGAGTGTCACTAATAGTATCAGAATTGGTGCTTGTCAATGAGATGGGTCTCAAGTTGGGTCAATTATTGGTTGTCCATTCCTTCGGTTTCTGCTCCATCATTATCCTTACATTGCTTTACGACAAGATAAACTTTGGGATTGAAAGTTTTGTGGATGGGTTAGTGTCCTAATCCCTCCACTATGAGTCCTGCCTGGCTACAGGAGGTTGGCCAACTACTCTTAAGTATAGAGTCTACTTTGGAGTGTGATCTATAAAGAGAGATCATCACATCAGTAAACAAAACTGACTCTGCTTTTACCACCAAATGTTGATAGCTCCTCAGCTAACGTTGGGGCTATGTGTCTACCTCCTCCTCATGCTGGGATTTTATGTGTCTTGCACAGATCTTTTGTGTGCTGTAAAATCGCTGTGGGTTCATGTGTATATCTGCCTCATTATTTCCAGACATCCTTTGCTTGATTTCATCTGCCATCTCTGGGTCTTATAATCTTATTTCCTTCACATCTTCCATGAAGACTCCTAAGTTTTGAGGAAAGGGTTGTGATCTAAACCTCCCATTAAAGTCTGAGCACTCTGATGTTCCTTTTTCTGTATACATTGGCCAATTATAGGCCTTTGCATTAATTGTCCTCTGCTGCAAGAATAGGGTTGTCTGATGAGAGTTAAAGGATGGGCTGATCCATGAGTATGGCAGTCAGTTATGACGAGTCATTTTAATGCTATGCACATTTAGTAGAAAAACAGTAGTAGGTTGTCTTCTGAGGGCTATGATACGTCTAGTCACAGGTCCTTGGCCTTGTTAACAGTACCCCATAGTGGTTCTAGTTAGTGAGGTAGGCCTTAAATTCAGGAAAGAAAGAGAGAGAGAGAGAGAGAGAGAGAGAGAGAGAGAGAGAGAGAGAGAACAAAGAATAGTTGGTTAATCCATAACATTTGTGCACTACTGCATCAGTAGCCACATATTACCAAGGAGGCTGTTATTACAGCCCACAGGATTCTTATTTTTCAAAAGGCTTTTAGTGTTTCTTATCTCTCCACATATTCCCTACTCTACCCTTCCTCCCAACTTCTACCTCCCTTCATCATTCCTAGTTAATGTTCTCCTTCCTATATGTGAAGCATTATATGTCATCTCCTGTCCTTCTTCCCCACAGTGACTTTGGGATTATTGGGCTTGGTTTTGAAAAACATTCTCTTAGACAGATTTAAAGTGGGTTAGAGTCAAGACAGTCCCAAGTACAGGAGAAGCCACAGATAACAAGTAAACTTCAGGAAATTCATGGCTACTTGGCCATAGGGATGTCATTATCAGGTTGAGATTACCCATAGAGCCACCTCTCCAGATATCAGAAGAGACAAAGTGCCTCAGAAGTTAGGAGGCAGGTGTGAAGTAGCATACAAGAGTCATCCTAGTGTGTCTGTCTAAAATTGTCCTCGTGTGGAGAATGCCTGCTTTGGAGGTAAGGGGTACAGCTGTGTTGCCAAGCACTGTTTAGTGGTGACAGAGAAGTAAAGCACAGGCAGATGCTGAGTGAGGAATGCTTCTACTCATTGAACTTGAACTCTTTTCCTATGTTCAAGAAGATGAGGGAGGAGCAGATGTCCCTCTTGATTCAAATTTACATGGAGAATATTTCTAGGGGGTAAATCAAAAGTAAATAAAATATATGTGGTTTTCCAATGGTGTGGTGCAGAAAAAAAAAAAAAAAGACAAGAGGCCGCCATGAAGGAAATACTTTCACTCCTTCCCTTTTTGACAGCAGAGAGTTTGGAACCAGACTTTGAAGTGGTAAACCGTGATATTTTCTCAGAACCTGATAAACACAGCAGTGGACCTGATACTCTCCATGATGATGCTGAGTCTCAACCAGACAGGAGTGACAGAGTTTGTTCTACAGGGGTTCTCAGAGCACCCTGATCTAAGATTGTTCCTGACAGGCTGCTTCCTGTCCCTTTATACAATGGCTCTAATTGGCAACACTGTGATCATTGCTTTGGTCACCTCCAGCACTGAGCTTCACAGTCCCATGTACTTTTTCCTGTGCAACCTGGCCACCATGGATATTGTGTGCACCTCCTCTGTGATTCCCAAAGCCCTGGTTGGCCTACTGTCTGAGGAAAACACCATCTCCGTCAAAGGGTGCATGGTCCAGCTCTTCTTCCTTGTGTGGTCTGCATCCTCTGAGCTGCTGCTGCTCACGGTCATGGCCTATGACCGTTATGTGGCCATCTGCTTTCCTCTGCATTACAGCTCTAGGATGAGCCCACAGCTGTGTGGGGCCCTGGCCATGGGTGTGTGGTTCATCTGTGCTCTGAATGCATCTGTCCACACTGGTCTGATGACACGGCTGTCATTCTGTGGACCCAAAGTTATCACTCACTTCTTCTGTGAGATCCCCCCACTCCTCCTGCTCTCCTGTAGTCCCACATATGTGAATAGCATTATGACTCTTTTGGGAGATGCCTTTTTTGGAGGCATCAACTTCATGCTAACCCTGTTGTCTTATGGCTGCATCATTGCCAGCATCCTGCGCATGCGTTCTGCTGAGGGCAAGAGGAAGGCCTTTTCTACCTGCTCATCCCACCTCATCGTGGTCTCTGTGTACTACTCATCTGTGTTCTGTGCCTATATCAGTCCTGCTTCCAGCTACAGCCCAGAAAGAAGCAAAGTTTCCTCAGTGCTGTACTCAGTCCTCAGCCCAACCCTCAACCCCCTCATCTATACACTGAGGAACAAGGATGTCAAGCTTGCCCTGGGCAGGCTCTTGCCCTCTTTCTCACATTAAGTGGAGATGCATAGAATATTCTCCTGACCTGGGCTATTCCTAAACATCCTGAGAGCAGCTTCATGAAGTAAAGTGTACCTATCACTGCTTTAGAAAAACTTTCTCTGATACACATACTGGACAATTCCACTTACTGTAACTTCCAAAACAACAGAATTCGTAGAGGCAATGTAAACAAAACACTCAAGCTTTATTTCCTGATAAATACAAACCATTTCAAAAGTAATTAAAGTTTATCTAGATAGAGATTCCATGTTCCTGGACTGGAAGATTTCAGTGGGTAACGATGGTGATTGTCACAGAATAAATCTCTTTTCTCCTCTGCCTCCCTGTAACCATCACAGGGATTTGTTTTAGAATGAGGACTTAGAATGTAAACCTCACAAGGAAGGTTGAGGGGCTAGCATGTCCACAGTGTCTCAGAAAGGACAAAGTTGAGTGGCTTGACTTCTCCACTCCAGAGCTTCCTATTGAGCCGTGGAAGTCAAAGCTGGTACAGAGAAAGAATCTATGGAACAGAGGTGAAGTTTAAGTTTCAAAAATGAAGTCACATATGTCACACAACATACTTGTGAAAATGATGACAATTGACCTCATGGGTAGATTAATTGTTTCCAACAAAATGCTTTGGGGAAACTAGATGAATATCTGCAAAAAGGGTAACGTGGAAGCCTAGTCACAGTATCAATGACAAGTACCATACGCATAGATGAAAACGCTGGGGCTGAAACCCTTCTTTCATACAACCTATTTTAATCATATTTTCCCCTCGCATAACTCCCAGATCCTACTACCTACTTACCTACCTATCCAATACCCTTCTTTCTTTCTCAAACAAAACGCAAAAACACAAAACAAATCCAAACCAGTAAGAGAAAAAAAAAAGGAGTTCATTTTGCATTAACTAGTTACTCCTGGCTAACATTCTTTTTTTTTTTTATTTACTTATTTATTTTATGCATATGAGTATATCACCATTGCTCTCTTCAGACACACCAGAAGAGGGCACCAGACCTTGTTACAGATGTTTGTGAGCCACCATGTGGTTGCTGGGAATTGAACTCATGACCTCTGGAAGAGCAGTATGGTGCTCTTAACCACTGAGCCATCTCTCCAGCCCCCTGGCTAACATTCTTAAAACACTCCAAGAACATCAGGGAGGAAAAGGAGGAAGGAGGAAGGAGAAGTTCATCGGTGGCCACTACTAAGACACTGATGGGACTTCAGTCCAGTAGAGAAAGGATAGTGTCTGCAGCAACTGCTGCTGAGAAGATACTGTATCATTTTCAGACTAAACACATTCTTCTTCAACTACCTTCCTTCTTTCTAAAGGCTGTACCATGCCAGGGCTTGTGATACAAATTAGGTATGTTGCAGTACTTAGCACTTCATCCTTATGACCAAAATATCTTTTCAAAACATTTATTCTGTCTTGTGGTTTCAGAGGACTCGGTCCATGGACACTTGGCTCTTTGTTTTGGCATATGTGGTGGAGAAGCTTCCTCCCATCATGGCAGCCCACAACCCATAGAGAAACACCAGGGCTTTCTCCTTTTCCCTTTAGCCCATGCTTTCTAGTCCCCAGTCCCTCAAGTGTTTCTGCTAATCTCTCCCTTCTGTAAATCCTTTCTGGAAACACTCTCACCAGCACACAGGTTAACTTCTATTGTGGTAGGAACAGTAGGGGGTGCTGGAAGAATACAATCAGAAGGGAGGCTGTGCAGTTTACCAGGCAGTATGAAGAGTTTGCTCTGATACCTGCTTTTCTGACTTCAGAGTCTGGGGAATAACATGAAGGTCCTTCTACAGATGACAGACTAGATAGGCAGATCCAAGTGTAATCTCTATTACAATGTGGCTCTTCATCTACATAACAAAAAGTAGTTCTGAACATTCTCTTTAGTTTCTACTCTCTTGACTCACAAGTTGAATAAAAAAAAACAAGCTAGGGACACAGCCTATGGAAATAGTTTTTGAATGTGGGTTGATGTGGTGCCATTGTGTCAAGTCTCTGAGCAAATTTTGTATGCTTCGAGGACCTGACTTTTCATGGCGACAGAGTTGGCCACGCTTCAGCAAGCGTGATATAGTGATGCTAGGAATGAAAATAAAATCAGCAAAGGGCTGTGGAGGGTGTGAGAGTGCGGTGAGGTGCTCTGCTTCAATGCAACTATTGACCAGGAATGTAGAATATAGCATTCAGATCCTGAAGCCAATGACAGACTCTCCAGAGACAGACTCAGTGTGTTCACTCTCTTGAACACACTCTCTTACAGTTTGCCATCCACGTGACAGAAGTAAGTCCTGCACCTCCATTCCGGGAGCTTCATTCTCCCTAAGCCATCAGACCAGGGTAAGGTACCTAGGACACAGGCTGAACCCAAGAAATAAGGTTGGCCCTCCTTGGGGTCAAGGTTTGCTAGCTGTCAGGGTGTCTCAGAGGACTCAGATTCTGAGCCACAGCAACTAAGCTGGTCCTCAACCAGACTCAGAAGAAACAAACAAGGATCTCAGGCTGACGCTGAAGCACTAAACTCCAATAGTCGTATGCCACTCCAACATGTACTTGAACCAAGTGGGACCACATAGAGCAGGTCAGACGCCATTGCCAGTCAGGGTATGTGTACTAGCAATTAGCACAACCTGTAACCTGACTTGGGCAATCAGAGTGCAGTGAGTACTGAGCTTTTCCCTGGGTGTGAGCCATGACTCTACAGCTGGGACAAGGTTGAGCCTATTGTACTATTCACTGTGGCCTCACCAGTAGGTACACAGTGTGACACAGTGCTCTCAGCCAAGGCCAGGATGAAAATGAGATTCAGACTGCCAATGAAAGTGCTTCATCTACTTCCACCAGACCCTATTCTATACTAGAGCTTGGTCCCAGAGATTCAAGGTATTAGGTGCATATTGATGAAGTTCCTACTACTCTGAATTGCTCAGATCACCATCCTGCTAGGGTCATGTAGGAAGAGAGATGTGGCAAAATTATGTTATGCTGGCTGGCTCTGCTCCCATTTACCAACCAGAAAATCAATGTCAATGTGATAAAGGTCCCGTCACAACTGACAGGTTGTATGCACCTCTTCCTGAGATAAACCTTTACTCTGTGTGTTTTTACCTTCCCAGCCACAGGGCCCTCTAGACATTGTCTGTTCGTCCAGCCTGCGCTAAATTTCATGAAGACTGTCAATGGCCAATGTCCAGGGTATGTATATGGTGTCCTGAACACCATGTGTCCAGATCCAGTTGCCAGTTGTTTTTTTTTGGGGGGGGGGTGGTAATTTAATTTTTTCTTTTTTTTTCCTTTTATTCATTTTTTTAATTTTTTTAAATTTTTTCTCAAATCATAATTAATTCACACAGGGGTATAAACACAGAAAGGCAGGATGTGGGGAATGGAATGACACTGGAGTGTGGGTGTTCAGGGGGAATACAGATATCTTCAGAACCGGGTATTGGCTGGGTGAAGGTTCAGGGGACAAGTCACTATGACTCTGCCTATGACTCGCTTGTCCTTATCTAAGTTAGTATTGTCTGCCAAGGCTACCTATTTACAAGGTCTATGACTACTCAGGCTTATAAATTTCCACAAAAGCTGCCTGTTGACATTAACTTATAGCCATCTGTTTTAATGTTTTTCCACTGAGACCCAAGACTTGGTGTTTGTATACATATATGACAGGCCTATTGCTGATTTTAGGCCTATGGCTGATTTTAGGCCTACAGTGTGTAAGCAGGGCTGCCCCTGACATCTCCTCCCTTCTCTAAGTATAGAAGGGCTGTGGCAATTCTAAACTTGCGAAGGCGGGGATAGAGGCCTGACCTCCAGTATTTGAAGGGGACCTTGTAATGGCTCCAGTCCCCCTGTCGTTGTCCAGTGAGGCATGAGGGCCATACCCATCCCGATATCTTTTTCCTGGAGAGGGAATACTTTTGACATCAACCCCTATGCAGTCAGGCTTGTCCCTCAGGGAACCCAGAGAGATATTTTTATCTTTTATTTATATTCCCTTGCAGTGCTTAGCCTTGCAGCCTAAGCAAGAATTCAGATCGCCTGTCAGAGGGGGTTCTGGGTGGCCCCTGTCTGCTTGGTCTAGGGGCAGAAGTCCCCCCTTTTAGGTTGGGTGGAGATGGGTTTTGGAAACACCCTGTATAAAGTAACAACCTCATCTTGAGTCTCGTGGTCCTCCATAGCTAACTTATGATAATGTATCTGAGTAGATTTTGCTACCAAATTATTTATCTGTTGTATCACAGAGTTAGTCCGCCTATTTGAGAGCCAGGGACCAGCAGAAAAAAGCAAAAAGAACCCAAATAATGGTCCCAAGATGGGAGGAAATAGGGTTGACAACCTTGGAGAGGCTGCAAATCAATTCTTGTACCAGCATTCATCTGTCTCTTTCTCTCTCTGATTTTTCTTAGGCTTCACTACCTATTTCATGCTCTCTTTAGCCCTCCTTGTCTTGTCTATGTAAAGGCAACCTTCTTCTTTGAGGGTTGTACACAGTCAAGAGCTGTATACAGTCTTTTCTATTGTACTAGAGTAAATCAAGTCCAATAAGGATCTTTGCGATTTTAGGAGGTCTCTTCAGACGGCGAAACGAGGGATTTCTTCAGATTAGTGATGTCGATCTCTAGCTGTTTGATGTTCTTGTCAGTGGCCCTTCAAAGGTCTGAGTAGTATAAGTTTGGAGGCCAGCATCTGGATTAGAACTTCTAACAGCAGCCATCACGGGTGATTCATTTTTACCTGGAAAGGAAAAAGAAGGGGATTCTCAGGGAGATTTCTCTTCCCTGGATGTAAATTGTTATTCATCGTATTTATGGTTGGGCCTGGCTTTGTGGGGGTATCTATTTTTTTCATTAATCTTTTTGGTAGCCGGTTAGCTGTGCCTTCTGGGGCATATCAGTCCTCGACCCCATAAGGGAACTGGGTCTGGACCATTCCCTTTAAGGGTAAGAGGGTCCTTCCCCATATCTGTGGCAAAGTTTTGTTGGTCTTGGTGGTGCCAGACAGTTGCCAGTTTTATAAGAAGCCCAGATAGCATTAGGAAAC